GCAAAAATATAATTATTCCATATACAAAAATGCCTAAGTTTCTATACAGACATATTTGCAACTGCTGAACCTTTAAAAAATTTATTAACTGTTTTTTATCAAGAGCTCCTTGCATTTAATATCTTTTTACAATTTAGAAAGCAATTATATGAATTATGGATTCAAACTACAAACAAAGAGCATTCCTGTAAAATAACATAATACAGATTTCAATTCTATAATTCGATTCCGTAAAACAATAAAAATTAAATTTTAAAAATTTAATTGGACACTGTCCGACCTAAACTAGTTTAGATCTGACATTTTGTCTGGGACTTTATAAAAAATTAAATTGAGCCCTTCTTGGTGTAGTTAAGGTAATTTATAAGCTATTCAAATACTTTCATTTGGAATTAGCATGATTTTGTTAGCGTATTATGTCCAAACAAGAGCTTTAGATGCTATAACTTTTTTTGCATCAAGTTTTTATGTATGAGTCTTTAGATCAATTCTGCTCAACTGCATTAACTTAACTTTAGTTACAATTTATTTGAAAAAGTGCCTTAATTTACTATTGATCCTAGCTCTAATTGGTTCTAGCACATATTAATTTAATATAATTGTCAAAACACAACATTTCTATCAATTTTCACAAAAAATATTAGAATTTCGACCAAGAATGTGTTTAAAATTAAGAAAAATTACCAAGAAATGATCAGAACAGATCATATTATTATTAAACCATGACGTTCATTTCACCTAAAAAGCGTATTCATTTATAATCTTATTTAAATTTGAACAAGTGATCAAAATTTTGAGATTTTTTTAATAGAAAATCTTAAGATTAAGATTTGGTTTTTTTTGCTACAATTTTTTTTGTCCAACTATTAAATTTATTTTTGCTACAATTATTTTTTGTCCAACTATTAAATTTATTTTTGCTACAATTATTTTTTGTCCAACTATTAAATTTATTTTTGCTACAATTATTTTTTGTCCAACTATTAAATTTATTTTTGCTACAATTATTTTTTGTCCAACTATTAAATTTATTTTTGCTACAATTATTTTTTGTCCAACTATTAAATTTATTTTTGCTACAATTATTTTTTGTCCAACTATTAAATTTATTTTTGCTACAATTATTTTTTGTCCAACTATTAAATTTATTTTTGCTACAATTATTTTTTGTCCAACTATTAAATTTATTTTTGCTACAATTATTTTTTGTCCAACTATTAAATTTATTTTTGCTACAATTATTTATTTGTCCAACTATTAAATTTATTTTTGCTACAATTATTTTTTGTCCAACTATTAAATTTATTTTTGCTACAATTATTTTTTGTCCAACTATTAAATTTATTTTTGCTACAATTATTTTTTGTCCAACTATTAAATTTATTTTGCTACAATTATTTTTTGTCCAACTATTAAATTTATTTTTGCTACAATTATTTTTTGTCCAACTATTAAATTTATTTTTGCTACAATTATTTTTTGTCCAACTATTAAATTTATTTTTGCTACAATTATTTTTTGTCCAACTATTAAATTTATTTTTGCTACAATTATTTTTTGTCCAACTATTAAATTTATTTTTGCTACAATTATTTTTTGTCCAACTATTAAATTTATTTTTGCTACAATTATTTTTTGTCCAACTATTAAATTTATTTTTGCTACAATTATTTTTTGTCCAACTATTAAATTTATTTTTGCTACAATTATTTTTTGTCCAACTATTAAATTTATTTTTGCTACAATTATTTATTTGTCCAACTATTAAATTTATTTTTGCTACAATTATTTTTTGTCCAACTATTAAATTTATTTTTGCTACAATTATTTATTTGTCCAACTATTAAATTTATTTTTGCTACAATTATTTTTTGTCCAACTATTAAATTTATTTTTGCTACAATTATTTTTTGTCCAACTATTAAATTTATTTTTGCTACAATTATTTTTTGTCCAACTATTAAATTTATTTTTGCTACAATTATTTTTTGTCCAACTATTAAATTTATTTTTGCTACAATTATTTATTTGTCCAACTATTAAATTTATTTTTGCTACAATTATTTTTTGTCCAACTATTAAATTTATTTTTGCTACAATTATTTTTTGTCCAACTATTAAATTTATTTTTGCTACAATTATTTTTTGTCCAACTATTAAATTTATTTTTGCTACAATTATTTTTTGTCCAACTATTAAATTTATTTTTGCTACAATTATTTATTTGTCCAACTATTAAATTTATTTTTGCTACAATTATTTTTTGTCCAACTATTAAATTTATTTTTGCTACAATTATTTTTTGTCCAACTATTAAATTTATTTTTGCTACAATTATTTTTTGTCCAACTATTAAATTTATTTTTGCTACAATTATTTTTTGTCCAACTATTAAATTTATTTTTGCTACAATTATTTATTTGTCCAACTATTAAATTTATTTTTGCTACAATTATTTTTTGTCCAACTATTAAATTTATTTTTGCTACAATTATTTTTTGTCCAACTATTAAATTTATTTTTGCTACAATTATTTATTTGTCCAACTATTAAATTTATTTTTGCTACAATTATTTTTTGTCCAACTATTAAATTTATTTTTGCTACAATTATTTTTTGTCCAACTATTAAATTTATTTTTGCTACAATTATTTTTTGTCCAACTATTAAATTTATTTTTGCTACAATTATTTTTTGTCCAACTATTAAATTTATTTTTGCTACAATTATTTTTTGTCCAACTATTAAATTTATTTTTGCTACAATTATTTTTTGTCCAACTATTAAATTTATTTTTGCTACAATTATTTTTTGTCCAACTATTAAATTTATTTTTGCTACAATTATTTTTTGTCCAACTATTAAATTTATTTTTGCTACAATTATTTTTTGTCCAACTAATTTGATCTTTTGCAAATTTTATTTTGGCTTTCAAATTCTTTGCAAAGAAATTGAAAATAAAGTGTTTCCATAAAGAAGAAGCCATAAAGATTATTTTGTTTTAATTGACATTTAGTTGTATCAAAACTACATTTTTGTAACATGAAACTGACTAACAATTGTATTAACAGACATCTTGTGAGGATCATTCTTGAAATATTTTACTAATAATCTGCATGATACCCTTTTCAGTAGTAACATTAATATACCCTTTTCAGTAGTAACATTAAGTCATCTATCGTGAACCTTGCTTTTAATAATTTTGCAATGAAAAAATTTCTTTATACCTGATTTTTAAACATTGTAAAATTTTAAAAACTTTCTGTAAGTGGTTTTTACACTGACTTTATAAACAATTTCTATATTACATTTGAAACTTCGTAAGTTTTTGCTTTTGAAAAAATTTCAAAGTAATTAAATTATTAAACTTCAAAAAAAATCTTTAATTATGCTTTTGTTTACAAAAACTTGATTTAATTACCAAGTATGATGCTGTTTCAAAACTTTTGCGCTGAAACCTTTCCAAAAAAAAAAATTAAATTAAAATTAACAGTTAGAACTTCTAATTTTTATTGTTGGTTGAATTCGATTAACATAAGTAAAAATTTTAGTTCAAAGTTTGTTCAAAGTTATGCTTTTAAAACTGAAAAAAACATGGTGTTTCTAAACATTTTTAGGGGTTGCTACGGATCCTCAAACATTAAATGGGTACCTAATATTATTAAAAAAACATAACATGACATACTTTTGAAACAGTTTTTCTAATATTAGAGACCTATTTAATGTTGGAGGGTCAGTAGCAACCCTAAAAATATTTTTTATTCAAGAATTTTTTAAACCTGTTATTTATAAATTATTTTGTTTAATGTTTTTTTCACTAACAATTTGCAGTTAAAAATAAAAAAGCGTAATGTAAACTGAGGCCAATGTTAAACTTAAAGTTTTTTTTCACTTTTAATGTTTTTGATTTTTTAGCTTGACCTGATATTTTTTTCTTTCTTGGTGGCAATAACTGTCTTCTTCAATAACTTTTCTTCTCTTTCCTTTTCCTAATAATGCATTTCTCATTCTTCTTGTGATCTTTCATTCATGTAGCATTAGTTTTTGGTGTTTAAAAAATAATTAATTAAAAATTATTATAATTTGAAAAAAAAAACTTAAACTTCTTAATTAAGCTTCTGTTTGTCATACTATGCTGTTATAAACCTTAACAAACAAACAAACAAAAAAAAACATAAACATTGGAGTGTAAACAAAAAACAAAGTTTAATTGGTAAAAATTCTTTATATAAAAAAAAATGTTAAATCAAAGCTAAGATTAACACAAATGATTTTTTTAATAATTGTATTTCCAAAAATTATTTATTTAGAAAAAAAAAAATTCATTTAAATCCAACTCTGTAATATCACATTTGATAAGCTTAATTTAGTACAACTTTGATTTCTACTTTTCTAAGGCATTGGCTGATCCCAGCCTTAGTAAACATGATCAGCAGTCTAAACATCCATATATACTTCTTGTATAAGAACTAATCAAAAATCTATTATAAGGCATGCTTCTGTTAATATGAAATATTCTATTACTGTCTTTTTGTCTTACAAGTGGTTTATTACAATTTACCTTTGTGGTCATTGTGCAACACATACACAATCTTATATGCGCCACAGCACATGTATCTCTCATTATTGCATTTTTTGTCACAGTAACAATATTTTCTAAAGATTTTGCATTTGTTGTTTTACCGATCCAGCACCAAATACAGTTTTAACAATGTGCAATTTTAATTTGGACTAAATGTGAACCTGTGCTGGTAAATTTTCAAACACATTTTTAAACAAGCTCAACACACTCTAACAACTAAACCCTCTAAATTATTAGAGGATTATCCTAAATGTTACCAATTTCCCAACATTTGCTTGTTACATGAATTTGTATTAAATGATTCTCTGTAAATTTCTATTGTGAAAAAATGTTGACATTTTTGATTTCCAGAAAATGACAAAAATCAACTATATGGTTTTGAAAAATTAATTAGAATTAATTAACATAACTAACAAACCTGTTGCAATGATATTTGTATTATAAGGGCACCAAGCCACTGCTCTCAATGAGTAAGAATGGGCATCAATATATCGGAAAGGTAGAAGAGCTAAAATAAAAACCTGAAAATTGCATGTATATAATAAATTTGTCATATATATATATATATATATATATATATATATATATATATATATATATATATATATATATATATATATATATATATATATATATATATATATATATATATATATATACAGTGGTGGCCAAAAGTCTTGGAACAAAACATTCAACGACCGAAAATAATTATTTTTAATCTAAAGTATAAATTTTGAAGGTTTGATGCTTTTGTTTTTATATAGCAATATGTTTATAGTTACATATTTGTATATTGCGCAATTTATTATCGTTTTTTATTATTCATAAGCAATTTATCAGCTATATTATGCCAGAACTTTCACCTAAAAAAAGAGGAATTATTGCTGCATTATATGAACAAGGTTTAGTTCAAAGAGAAATATCTGAAAAGCTTGGTTGTTCATTATCAACTGTAAGTAGAACTTTAAAAAGGCATAAAGAAGGGTCCCAATTAAATTTTACTTCAAAGATGAGATCAGGCAGGCCCAGAGCAACCACCTCAAGAACTGACAAACTTATTGGCCGGATCAGCCATGCAAATCCACGGCTATATGCACACGAGATTTCAAAAGAAATTTTTATTGAGAAAAAAGTAAGTGACCAAACAGTTAGAAGAAGGCTTTTGGTTGATTTCAAAATGAAGGCATGCAAGCCAGCAAAAAAACCTTTTTTATCATTAAAAAACCTAAAAGATAGAATAACATTTTGTCAGCGCTACAAAAATTGGACTGGAGAAAATTGGTCTAAAGTTCTTTTTTCTGATGAAATATGTATTAAACAATTTAATGTTACAAACAACTTTGTAAGAAGACCAAAAAACTGTAGATATATGCCAAAATATACAGTTAGCAGTGTCAAGGCTCCTGTGTCTTGTATGGTTTGGGGTGCTATTTCTGCCAAAGGACATGGGCCATTATGGATAATGCCCAGGAATATCACAATAAACAGCAAAGTCTATTTGGATGTTATGAAGGAGAAGTTGCCACCTTTCATGCAGATCTTGAACTGCACTTATTTCCAACAGGATGGTGCACCATGCCACACAGCCAAAATTGTAAAGAAGTGGTTTGCTGATGAAGGAATTCAAACCCTTGAAAATTGGCCTGGGTCATCACCAGATCTTAATGTTATTGAAAATTGTTGGCATATTATGAAAGTAAAAGTTGCTTACAAAAAGCCTAGATCCTATAATTATTTAGTTGAAGCAATCAAATCAGTGTGGATCCATGAAATTACACCAGACTATTGTACAAAACTTGTTAACAGCATGCCAAAACGTATCCAAATGGTAATTGACAATAACTATGCTTCCATTATATATTGAACTTTTATCATGTATGTGCATGTACCTATCATCTTTAAAATTCTTATAAACACTTATTTTATTGAAAAAAATAAAAAAATTTACTAATAAATTGTTTTTCACACAAATATATAACATAAAATATGATGTTCCAGGACTTTTGGCCGCCACTGTGTATATATATATATATATATATATATATATATATATATATATATATATATATATATATATATATATATAACACAGGAGTAAATAAGTGTACAGGCAGTAAAACGTCTGTCTAAAATACGCTTGATAGTCCTTTCGCAGGCAATCAGCATTTTTGGTGGCTTTTTTGATATTTAGATAAAAAAGTTCATGAAAAAAATAAAATGATTATGATAATTTATTATGTTTTAGAAATAGAAGTTTTGTGAGTTACACTTTAATGTTTTATATTATATAAATAAATCAGAAAAAAAAATTGATTTTATGATATTTATTTAAGCACTGTATTGTTTTCTAGAAAAATTGTTAAAAAGAATGTTGCATTTGACCAAACTTTAGTTTATATTTAGCTTTATAATATAAATGATTGATTATTTTACAAATATTATTTTGTTTAATGTTTTTTCCTAGTTTTATATATAAAAATTCATTTGTTACTCTTTTCCTTTGTAATTTTTTTTTTCTAATTTAAAAAGTTTAAAAATTTGAACTGAAATAACTCCAAGCTAAAGAGCGAGTAATTATAATAAAAGACTTGTAATAAAAACTTTTAATACTTTCAAAATTATTTTTGTATGAAATAATTCAAATCAAAAGAAACAAATTTTTATAACTGTTTATGAAAAAAGATTTTATCTAAGATATTAAATATGTGTGAATCCATTATTTTTGCTTTAAGTAGTATTTTACAACTTTTTTACTACATATGTTTTGCTTTAAGTCATATTTTACTAAGTTAAAAATGCAGCTATATAATTATTTTATATAAGTATTTTCAATTTAAGAATAAATAGTTTACATTTTATATTTTATTTTTAAAACATTTTCAATAAAAAAAAAAATTTAACTAAAAATTTAAATAACTTTTTAAAAATGAATAAAGCTTGTTGCTGTTTTGTTTTCTTTACAGCTTTTTAAATCGGAATTTAATGAAACTCTTATACTTGTCATATGAATTTATCAACATTATTAAAAAATAATTATGCTAAAACAATAAAAGAAATCTTCAATAATGTACTTTTTTATCTTAAAGATGCTCACAAAAATATCATAAGGAATAACCATTTTTTTGCTTTTTTTTTAAAAATTCTTGCCTAATTACATAATAGTAAGGCCATATTTTATTTTTTAATGTGCTAGATAATTTTTTACTATTTTTGTTTATCTAAGTAAAAAAACAACTCAACCAAAAAAACATTAAATTTAATAAAAAAATTAATAAATTTAAAAAAACTGTATAAATTTTGGTCTTATAATAAAAAAATAATTATATTTTGCACGGGCTTTATTATACATACATACATACATATATATATATATATATATATATATATATATATATATATATATATATATATATATATATATATATATATATATATATATATATATATATATATATATATATATATATATATATATATATATATATATTTTTTTTTATATATATATATATATTAGACCCCACTTAATTGCATTTACAAACGATTTGTTTTGCTAAAACAAAAATAAAAGAGATTCTAACTGATTTGACAAATTTAAAATGGATGTAGTTTTATGTTACACAAATTTAAAATAAAAATGTGCTTTAAAGGGATCCCAAACTCCCAACACATGTTGTGTTCATATTAAAGATAATGTTAAAAAAAAAGGTTTGAACCAAATTTTTTTGATTAAAAATAAATAATGAATGCATACCGTGAAAAACAAATGTTGTTGTTTTTGCCGAAGCTCGTCTTCTCCATTTTTTTCAACTAATCGGAGTCTTCAAATTATGCGTCGCAATCTACAGACTTTGGCAATTCCTTTGAAGCGCGTTTAATTCATAAAAGTTTTAGTATTTGACGTCACGGTAGACTTTTAATAAATTAAACTCTAGAAATATTTTTATTTATTTTTAGTCGAAGTTTTTTTGATTATTTGTTTAGTTTGTTTTTTTTTCTACTTTTAATATTTAAAAAGATATTAAAAACCTTAAATATTTTATGCTGGTTCGTTGCTATAAATTGTTATTGCGCCATATATTTAATGTTTATAAATTATGAATATTTCTCTATGAATTATCTCTCTCTATATGAGAGATCTTTTATCTTTTATCAATTATCTCTCTCTATATGAAATATCTCTCTCTATATATCTTTCTATATGAATTATCTCAAAAATTGTTTTACATTAATTACCCGTATAAAATTAGTAACAGCTTTTTTATTTGGCTAGACGATATTTCGTTTCAATTTGCTTTGCATGAAGTTCGGAAAGTCAAACCAAAAAAATTAGTTTGAATAATCACGTAAATCAATATATATTTAAAACAAATTATTTTAATGACGGGGGTTCTAAAGTTTTTTATAACAAATGTAGGTAAAAAAATAAATAACTAAATAAAAAGTTCAGTATTAAACACCATTTCTTTATTCTATTGCAACTGTAAATATTGAATTATTAACTTGAACTAAATTTACTTATTATTTAGAACGACTAAGCAATAAAAATAAAATGCCCCTAAAATTATTTGAGATTGTGTTGTTTATTTGATAATTGTTGTTGGCAATGTTGTTTATGTTGATTATTTTCATAAATATCAAAATAGTTCCAGATTAACCGGTTCGTTGCTTTGCTCATTGTTGATTTATTTCTAATTTAATTTTATCTCAAACTATAATTATATGTTAAAAAAGAAAAGTTTTTATTTCATCGGGCGCTCTTTTTATAAAAGAGTAGAACAAAAGAGAAAGAAAAGCAATTAAACTTTGAATGAGTAAGAGTTGTATAGAATGTATATATTTTTTTGCTTCACTCATTCTTTTTTTAGATGAGAGAAATAAAAGTTTAATAGTAAATTTTCTTTGAATAAGTGAGAATTGGAAGAGAAAATTGCTTGAAAATTTGTATTTGTTAATTGTGTTTTTAAAAATTTTTAATTTTTCATGTTAAGAGATAAATACCAATTACGACACAAATTTGGAAATACCAAATATAATATGTTTTTTAATTCGCGTTATGACATTTTAACAATCTAAATTACCATCTATCTTGAATTATTGCCTTTAATTAATGTGTTAATTATTGCGTTATTTAATAATAATTTGTCCGTATTTTTGTTAAATATTAGTTGTATAAAACAGGCGAAAATATACAAACTTTATGTTTTTTATTTGATGGTTATAAAATATTGAACAGTAAACTTATAATCAAAATTTCTAATGCTGACTTGTGTTGCAATTAATTCTACTTTTAATGCAAAATCAGGATCTCACAAATCCTTTCACGAATTTTCATATCTGATACTACTGTCAACTGTATTGTTTAGTGTATTCTTGCACTTTTTTTTCATAATCTCAACAGGTTCTAATTGGCATAGAGTTGCTGACACTTTGAAAATTTCATTATCAAAAATCAAATGTAAAATAAAATGGTATTTCCTTTTTATCCGTATCCAATTCAGCAAATTTAGC